CAATGGAACCCGATATGTTTGGGGAATCCAAGTTAACACTAGTAAGGAGCCAACTTTGGCTGTAGAGGCACACGCATTGTAAATATTAGAAGCAAAATGCTGAAATATTGCTCCCAATTTTATTGTTTTATGGTCTATAATGTCATGTTCTATGCATGTGTTGTGAGGATTATTCAGTTTGCTCATAAAGGGATTATTCAGTAGTATGTGTATGCATCCTTGCACTGTGTAGGGAGTTGGATGTGGAACTGCTGAAGTGGTTTTCTGGAGCCCAGCTGTCTCAACCATATTTTGAAGCATATTCTCAGTGTTTCTACTGGTTGGGTTTAGTTTGCTGCCAACGATATGGAACCAGCTTGAGAATATTTTATAATACCTTAAATTTTACAGTGACTTTCAAATGAAGGCACCCACATGTTTTCTCTCATTCTCCAGATGTCCTTGCTGAATACACAGGGACAAATAACAGTCCCATTTTTGCTCATGGGGAACAGTCTGATGATTCAGCTGGAGCATGGGGCACTTTGAGCACTATGTCCCCATATGTGGCAACAAACGGTGACCTTGTTGGATGGTTCTTAACGTAACTCAAGATCACTCAGCGCAGCAGTGGTTTTAAAGCTAGGTGCCACTGGAATTTCTGCCTTTTACACAGCTATATTTACAAATTTTAATCTGATAAGATAAATTTTCCCTTTTATAGTCAAATTTGTGAGTGCAGCTCGGAAAAGTAGACCAGATGGCAAAGCATAAACTTAATCTATACTGTGTGTGACCATAATTTTCTCCATAAAATAGAGCAGCAAAGGAGAAATGTGATCAGTAAAAGAGTTTTACAGACTTTTCTCAGTAATTTATTTACCTCTAACATGTCTATAAAAAAAGGACATCCTTCTGCCTAGAGGACTGATTAATGATATCCGTGTGGCTTTCATTAACTAACATAATTGTCAATCACCAATTTTCACCATGAGATCTGCACGTGTGTGATGTCAGGCTTTTGAAAGGCTTTATGCAGGGAAGACTTCACTGGGGTCACAGCTGAAAGTTCACTGTTATTTGATAGTATTTTGCAGGTTTCCTGTTTAATTTGTTCAAAGCGTTAAGGCTCATCAGATTAGCTGCACAGTCAAACATGAAGAGATATGAGCTAACTTGGCATTGTCAGGTCCTTTAAAGGACAGAAACCATGACTTATCTAGTGTCACATGCTATCAGCCTGTCTTGGCAGCATATACACGTGAAAATTTGTTTCCTGTTCCTAACAGTGCAGCACAATATTTGATGTAGTCACACTGACTATATTTAAAAAAAATAAGTGTTCCGAGGGCGATTAAATCAAGAGGATTTCTGAGATGAGTGATTCTTTTTACAAAAGTTTTTCACTTTTATGACAAATATTTATTTGCCCATTAAAATATTAGAATAAATGAACATATTGCCTTCAATTGTTACGTGGTCAGAATGTAAAGAAAATATTTTTATATTACTGCAATGATTTTTTTCAACATTGTGTGACATATCAAATAAGACAGAAGTGAAAAAAAAAAGACTTTTTGAATGTACATAGTATACCTACATGCATTGAGTTAGAGGCAAAAGAGTATGTTTGTGATCTTTTAAAAGCATTTAAGACACTTACAGTCTGAAAAGCATGTGGCATTCCTCTCAGGGCTTTTGAGTTTCTATTTTAAAAGGCTGCTTTTCTTTGCACTTTACTGTCTGTCTCTGTTGATGCATTTCTGAGGGTGTGAATGTGTTCATATTAATGTCAAGCAAGTTTGAAATAGATGTAGGCAAAGACTGCTGGTAACTTGCTCTAGCTTTAAATTATTTTAGGGTGGAGAGTTCCTGCCTCTCTAGAAATGCACTGAAAGCAAAATTATGAACTGTGGTAGACCAAATACAATGAAACCACGCCAGAGATTCTTAGAACACTTATTGCATTTAAGCATTAGCTTTGCATTATGTTTGCCTTCAACCAATTTTTAATTAACACACCACTTATTCTTAGACAGGAATTGAAAGGCAAGCACAAATATTTTGCAGTCTTAAAATTCAAAACTTAAAAGTACTCAATTAAAAAAAAAATGACCACAAGCTTAGGAACTATACTGGCCTTCTTCAGTTACACCTGGATGTTAGATAGTACTTGGTGGAGTAGTTAGATTTTTTTCATGAAAGAAATTAGATTATTTTAGGTGAGTAAACCATATATCTGAGAAACATATATACTCATTAAAATATATGAATATGTAGTTATTTTATAACCTAGTGAAAGAAAATGTACCCTTGAAAATTGTCTCATTATGCATAGATGAGAAAAAACACTGTACAAACCATATATGCTCAATATTAGCTTGCATTTTGTTAAGAACCTGTGAAATATTTAGGGGTATTCTGTCAGCGTGGTTATGTGAGAAGACAAAGTAGAATTCCTGTTATTGCCACGCCTCCAGCATCCTTGAATTTGGGCTCCATGAGGGATGTGTGAGGACCTTCGTATGGTACCTCTGTGGAAGGTACCCCTGAGAGAGCGCCCATGCACTAGGACACAGTAGTGTGGCCCTGTCGGAGGTGCACCGGTTTGTTCCTGCTTTTATACTGTGGCAGATCTTGAGATAGCTCCTTCACAGGCTCTTCTCTGATGTCCATAACTACTTTTTTTCCCCCCATAAAGCAAGATCCATTTATTTGTCATGTGTCTTTAATCTCCTTGAATCTAGATCAGTTTCACAGTCTCCTGCTGTCATTGAGGACATTGACATTTTGGAGGCCCAGACCAGTTGTTTTGCAGAATATGCCTCAATTTGAATTAGTCCGATTATTCCCTCGGGGTTGAAATTAAGAGCCTTAATAAGGAAGTAAGAAATAAATGAAGACAGGACGGTGGGGAGGATGAGCAAAAGAAAGGAAAAAGAGATGCAAATGGCATGAAAATTATTTATTCAAACTAAAGAAACCAGCCTAGTCATTTGTATTCAGACTATTTTGATATAAGCACATGTATGGAGTAGGCAAAGGAATAAACCTTGAGAGTTTGGATTGTGTGACAGTTAAACAACAACAACCAAAAAACAAACCCACCCCCCAATCAAGCTAGTTCTTTTACTCTATACATAAATAATGAGGCTATTTATTTTTTTTAATATATATAAGCCAGTTTATTTGGTGCCATTTAGTTCCTCCAAATTTATTTCTTTAAAATCCTTCACCAGGCTTACCATATTGAAAATGATCTTAAAGAATTTATGGGAATGTACAGACACTATTCCAGATTGATGAGAATTTAGTCTGTTTTTAAAAACCTCCAGAACAGAGACTCATGAACTACATCTTGAAACGAAGAGTACTATGAAATCTCTCCAGGAAGTAAATCTTATTTTCAAGCTGTCAGACACAACTGTCAGGTGTCAGAGTCTGAGAACAGCTGAAATAAGTTTTCTAACTTGCCACTGTGTCTCCACATGCAGTGCCTGCTTCTCTACCTCATCCCCCAGCTTCCAAATAAATAAAAAGGGGAACTGGTCATTGTAGGAGCACTGCTGAGAAATCACAACATTCAAATGATGTTTGCTTTATCTTGGAACCTCAATATGCCCATTCCTAACAATTTTTTGATTTACTTGGTGAGGGCAGACTTGTAGGAAAACAAACAGACCCTGAGTAGGAACGATACTCCCTTTCCTGGCCGTGTCTTGCGAGGCTCTGATTGGTGTCCTTGGAGTCTTAATCGCCATCCTCCGTGAATAACTGTGCACTGCACCAGGGAGCTGCACTCTCATTTGCCTGCATTTTGTTTTTCTGGGACTCGCTGTTAATTTCTGAACTTGAGCAGAAGTAGATTTGTAGTTGGCTCTTCTAAGACTCAGTGGACACAGAATTGCTGAGATCTCAATTTCTGTGATGGTGATTATTAAATGAAAGTTTGTGTGCAGAGGAAAACCCATCCGTTATTCTTTTATTTTTAAACTGTTTTAGTATGAATAAGTTGGAATGCTATATAGAATCGTACAGTAAACTACCATTTGTATTTACTGCCTCACTTCTACAGTGGTCAACTTCTTGGGAAATTTGTTTCATTTTTATGCCTCTCCATTCCCTACCACCATTTTATTTTGAAGCAAATCTCAGATATTATAACATTTTGTTCAATAATATTTCAGTAGAGGACAGAGACTCTTTTAAGCAGTCTTGCTTAAAATAAGAATGGTATATAGGTGTTCAATGTAAAGTATTTACAAGATAATGCACAATTTGAGTATGCCCAGTCTCTCTGGAGAAGATTTAGAAGAGTTAAATCCAGTCAAAATGACCATCTGACATGAGTGTGGTGGTCTTCTGGAATAGTCATACATTGTCTAATGGGACAGTAACTATAGGTCCAAATTAAAGAGTGATGTTCACCAAAGAATTATGGTCTTGAGGAAAGGCACGTTGTTAAGATTCATGAGTTTTGTTTGTTCTTTGGGCCCTCTCTGCTGGTAGGATCATCTAACTCTGACTCTCCAGAAAGTTGTAACCTTGAAGAAGTCAGTCACTTACCTGTCTCTGAAATTAAACTTCTCCACTTAAAATACGGATGTGATGCCTGTTGTACCTATTCGCAGAACTATGATGCAGATCAGTTGTGATCTGGGATGCAAACAATCCCAGTTACATATTCTCCATCAGCGCAGGTTTTGATTCTTTGAAATGACTGCTGTTCAGGATTTTTAATAGTATCAGAGAATGTAAAGATTGAGGAAATAATTATCTAGAATATTTGTAAAGAACTTTATAACCTAGGCTCCTTTTGTACCCCCTGAGTGAATTTTGTTTGGTCATTTCAGTTTTCTTTGAGTTGAGACACCTTTTGGCTGGCTTTCCCCCACCATTTCTATCTCTTTCTCAGGTGGTAAAATCTTCGGGAATGGTGTCCTGATCAGACTCACCCAAAACTGATATTTCTCTTTGAAAGATGACCAGGTGATCAGAACTTTTTTTCTTTCTCTTTTCAGCCTTGCCTCTCCGATTGAAAGAGATGAAAAGCCAGGAGTCGGCAGCAGGCTCCAAACTAGTGCTTCGGTGTGAGACCATTTCCGAATATTCCTCTCTCAGATTCAAATGGTTCAAGAATGGGAATGAATTAAACCGAAAGAACAAACCACAAAACATCAAGATACAAAAAAGGCCAGGGTAAGTTACTGCATATAACAGAAGAGGCAATACTTAACAGCCTAATAAAAAAAAAAATACAAGTGATCAAAAACATGCTATACAATAAATGAAAAGATTTTTATTGTATAAAATGACCAGAAACTGTGTCATTATACAGGAAGGATTTTGAAGTTTCTGATTCTTACAACTTCTGGATGAGGATAAGAAAGGACGGATGTGGAGAAAACTGTAGGGTTGGGGGTAGATAGAAGAGACGAAAGAAGATGCGATTAATGGTAGCTGTTGTAATAGTAACAGGTTAGAACCCAAAATTCAATTTCACATTAAGACAAATGCTGTTTAGAGTACCAAGGCCTTACCCAGTCAAAATCCTGATTTTATTATATATCAATAGCTCAATAAATTACCTAGGTTTATGGAAATAGAATGTTATCCATTGAATTTGAACTATTTTCAGGTAAGAAGCTGATACATCAAATTATACCTAATAAGAATTTTTACCTGACAGAAGTTTATTATACTCCATCACTGCTATAGCAGATTTTAAAAGCAGGTAATCCTGAGTGGCAAGAATATTAAGTTTTCATGTCCTCCCTGAGGAGGTCCATATGTGGAAGGGCTTCATGTGATTCCTATACAATCTTGATAGGTATGATCTGTAACTACCCTAAAATGATGCTCCTTTTTTTATCCCTATACTCTTCATAAATATTTCATTATTTAAGAAATTTTCCTTCTAATATCAAACTATAATGAAAATTACTACTAATTTTGAAATTAGTGAAAGCTATTTTGGGTTTTGCTTAGAAATACCCTTTAATCAATGTGACATGTGTAATAGTGGTTCCGAGCTCAAAGATTACCCACACTTCAGAGGATTCCAGTGAAATCCCAGGGATGGTAACAGAAGCAGCAACAAAAGAATCTCCCCCAGTACTTGATTTCTAGGACAGCAACCAAAATATTGTCACACACTCATGAGCAAGAGAAAGCCGGGTGATTATAATGGAAATTTCATTTCACTTTGCCAAAATGTTAATTGCTATAATAACCATAATTAGTGATTTTTCCCCCCTAGTTTCCATGGTTTTATTAACTATACTGCTCATTCTCAGTAACAATACACAATCAGTAAAAAGAATGATTTGGAAGTATACTAAAGTGTGGAGGAAAGAATGGGTATCACTTTTTCAGCAGGTGGTACTTCAGAGATTACAAAAAATAATACTGTAAAGTGTCATGGTGTTTTTATGCATCGTGTTATTTATTACATTTCCATAGGTAGTAAGGGCAGTTGAACTATACATGGTATCTAATCTTGCAGACTAAGAAATCAAGGGTTAAAAAGCATTATGCCTTGCCTTGAATCACACAACTAGTTAGACTAAGCTGAAATACAAATCTGTTTCTTGATTTCTTAATGCCTCCTTCCTTCTTCAAACATGGAAACCACACATGATATTTAATAGCATGTGCATGTGGGGAGGGGAAGAGATAGAGAGAATGAATTGAAAAAATAAATATGGTATTTACGGAGAGGTTAAAAAAACTTTTAGGTAGATTTTGGTGTCTGTTTTGTTTTTCATCAAATAGACAAGTTAGTAGAAATTAAGTTGTCCTCACAAGGCAGTACTCTGTCCCATTCATTTTTGTGTGGCTGTCAGATGATACCGATGATATTTAAGTGCCCATGAAAGGGTTTATGCTGGACCAGTGGAGAAATGGAGGGATCATAGGTTGATATCTTTACACCTCAGGGTCATCAGATTGTAGAGAGGTTATCCGGGTCAGGCTTCTATAAAACGCAAGAGTTCCATGGACACCGCGCTGAAACACTGTGGGGCTGGGGAACTTCAGGGTGCTTAAGCAGCCCATCCATTTAGAAATAGCGATCTTTTAGAAAATGATTAGTTACATTGAGGTAAATTCTACTTTATCATAAGTCAAGATTGCATTAGGGAGATGAAATGTCTAGCACATCGTATTGGACAATAAAACTAAGTGCTATGTTAGTTGTAGGTTACTGATGCCAAGTGCCAGGGGCATTGGGAAGAGGCGGAGACCCTGAGAGCTTTAGCAGCAGCTTGGAGAGGGGAGGTTTGACCTGCTGCAGGGAGAGTCCCCTTTGGTAGGGTGGGTGCGAGGGGTGGACAGTTCCAGGGAAGAGCGGGAATCACAGTCAGAAGCAGGCCCTGCTCAGAGGCCACTGGGATTAGAGCAGTGGGCGAGTAGGTGGAAATTTTACGCTTTCTTGGACAAGCTGTTGTGTGTCAGACCCTGAGCTGGATGCTGGGTATGGAGAGGTGAACAAGACCTGCTCCCCGTTAAGAGGCTTGGTCTACAGGGGAGAGAAATGTAAACATTAGAGAAATGAAACGATAGTCAGTTTCAACTTGTACAATAGTAATACTGGCGAGATGCTGTAGTGTAGAAGGCTAGTGCAGATGGGGGAGGGGCCCCAGTCAGGGACAGGGGTAGCTTCCTAAAAGTTCTAGAAGGGAAGGGGGCTGGGAGAGGAGAGGTTTATCCAGGCTGTTGCAACTGAACAAAATGTCGGGCAGGCTGCAAGTATAAGGAGGCCTAGTGAGAAGTAAATGAAGTTGAGTAGAGAATATGAAAATAAGGAACAAAAAGAAAGTGAGCTGCTTAGAATAACGACAGTTTTGAAAGAGTATTTTTTTTTTTTTTTGGCTTCCAGAGGCAATTTGTTCCATGGCTTGGATGACATATAAAAGTATCATTAGTATTCAGAAAAGCATGTTCATATTGGCTCCATAGGCCCAGACAACTAAGAGCACTGGCTACATATTAATAAAATCCCATTATACCAGATAGGCCAATATTCAGGAATGGCTTCTTTTAAACAATAGCTTTGCTGGAGAGACTTAAATGGAAAAAAAAAAAAGAGAGACATTTTATTCAAGATATGTAACTATCAATTACTCTTGGAAAAACAGTTGACATGTTTGATCTTCTAAAAATAAGACATCTAGCGTAAAGTGGGCAGCTACTTGCTAAGTGATCAGCTTCTCAGGTTTCAGAATTGGGTCGTCAGTCATTTCTGAAGGTTTATTTTTTTAAAACATAAATTAGTGTTGTCACCTTTTCTTAAGTATAAAGGACCAAACTGAATCTAAATTTAATCAACATTTGCAAGGTGCTCTGTTAATTTCATGTTGTCTTATAAATATTAGAGGATGAGTACTGTTATTATTATACTCATTTAAAGTTAAGATCCTAAGAATGAAGGGTGTTTCTCCCTGGACATCTCACGTTAACAAATGGTAAAACTTAGTTTTGAAATTGGTCTGACTTCCTGTCACACATCCTTTCACAAATACTTCTGATTTTGCTATCTACAATTTAGTCATGACACAGAGCTAGGAACATGTTTAGGCTTAGAGTGAAGTCTTTAATAAAAACATTCCTATTTTTCAGTTTTGTCTACATATGTATAATTTTTCATTACCAAGCTGTTCAAAATGTTAATGCTTTACATTGTTTACTTACTTGGTTACTTGACTTAAACTTCATCTTACTACACTTGATATTAGCAAAGAGGCTAAGAAGCAGTGAACTTTATCTTTAGATGGTAATCGCCCAGGAGGGGTGAATTTTAGTGTGAGGTTTGGGGTTTCTCTGGCATTCTCTTTATTTAAGTAAAACATTGACTCTTTTCTAGTCCTTGGTCTAAGGTTTCTTTTTCACATTTTATAATCTAGATTGTTCGTAGCAGGCAGAATTTTCTTTTAATCCCTTTGTGTTATGAAAAGCTTTCAAACTAATATGCAATTTCTATTATTTTGTAATATAAAGTCTTATCTCCCTTCTGCTCCTGCCCCTACTAATAAACTACATTCCTACATGTTCTTCCTATGATTTTGAGTTCATGTTTGAGTCTTTGTTTATTTTGTTTGGCCAAGCAAAGTGTGGGACCAATTAAAAGAAATGGAAACTGCCCCAGTGGTGTATGTCTGCTTATTCCTTTGTTCTCGTTTCCTTTGCCTGGTGAATGAAGAAAACTGATTAAATAAAGAGCTTGGTGTGTGGCAGATTCTTATCTGGGGCTGTCAGATTGGCCTCATTTAAATATCTGTTCTATATTAGCCATATTGAAGGCTGACTTCTTATTGCCTGTGGATGGCACACATTTTTAGATGCTCTTAATTATGTCTCAGCTCTTCACTTTTGTTATTACATTTTTTATTTTGTTTAAAACTGGCTCTACTCGATCAAGTTTAAAATTTTTTTAAAATTATTTCTTCTGTTGTTGATTGTTGCAGGTTTTTTTTCTCTATAGTAGAAAAAGTTGATACATAACCCCTTCTCTTTTTAGCTTAGTAGCTCTGGGAGGTCATTTTAATTTTATATGTAAGGAAATCTCAAATTCTTTCATATAAAATGGGAATACCAAGTGCCTATTTCATATGGTTTATGCGAGGCATTTGGTGTAGTGCCTGGTTCTGTATAGTATAATAATTGCCTATGGGGTCCCTCTCCCCTTCTCATTATTGACAGTTCTGCAGTATCTGAAGCTGTTTGACACACACACGTCCATGTGCACACACAGAGCTCGTATATGGTTCTTTAGAGACCAGAGCAATGGGATTATGTAAACTGATCCCTCTATATGTTTAAGTTGTCTTGGCATGCAAACTGGAGTGGAAGAATCTAGCTAAATAAGAAAAATGAGATAGTAAATATTGGAACAGTGAATCCATCTTGTAAGTAAGCACTTATTGAAGGAACAGCATTTACATTTCCTTACAAAAGAAGACAAAGAAATTAATATTTAGCACTTGTTATATATTTATAAGTTAGTTTGTATTAATTTATTTTTACATTTCATTATATTTTCTGATCTCAAAGCTAGTGTATGCTTATTGCAAAAAATCTTAATATTGCAGGAATTTAGAATGTAATTATGATAACAGCTAACATTTGTCAGGAGCTTACCATATTTCAAGCATTGTTTTAAACACTTTACGTAAACTAATTCTTTCAGTACTTTTAGAAAATGAAAAGAATCCACCAAAACATCAAGCCCTCCCAGGTTGCCAGATAACTCATCAATGAAATAGTATAAAGTTAATTTTATGATTGGAAGGGAATTTCAGTAATTTTGTACAAGTTAACATCCTTCCTACAGACTGTATATGGGAACCTGCTGAGAGTAAAGCAAAATAGTTGTATCCATACTTATCAAAGCCCCAAATTGTTGCAGGATATGATTTTCAAGAAAAGTTTGTCTATTTCTTCACTCTTGTTACATATTTCCTATTCCTTCTCTAAGACACAAGGATTGAAGAACTTCATAGTTACATATATGACAAGTGTGCAAAGGGGCCATAAGCATGAGCACCTAGATCTGCGATTTTCCTGTTTGTTCCCTGGAGAATCTTAAGTTTCCATTGGATGGAAAAAAGGGTTGACAGGCACCTTGACCTGAATGCTTTTTCTCTTTTACATATTTTTAACTGTGAGGCTCTGATTTAGGCTTTCATTTTAAAACAGAATTTTTTTTTTTTTTTTTTTTGCAAAAACTGGTTGAAACTACTGATCTAATTTAATCTTTCTCTGCATAGAGATATTCTTGTTAAGAGTGTGCTTGACAGGTGGTTATCCAGACTTCAGTCTTTCTGAAGAAGAAAACCGAACTTTCAGAAGCCCTCTATTCATTTAAAATATGCCTTCTCTTTCCTCTAAGACGTAATTCTCCTTCAAGAACTTCTCCAAATCATTTCCTGTTCTAGATGACAACCATGAAATGGATTACAATAGCTTCCCATATCTTGTTTATATCTGCCTGCCAGTGGGCCTTTGTTTCTTTAACAGAATCCTCTCTGTGCCCTGTTCGATTCTGACCACCCTGTTCTAAAGTCCTCTAGATATTGATGTTTTTCATCAAATGCGACTTCAAAACATAATTCAATATTCTAGATGAGATCCAGCCTGTGAGCAGTGTATTGAGACTTTTATCCAATTTGATTTATGTTGTTTTATATTGATTTGACCAAACAGTGCATTTCTTTCTTTTTCTTTTTATTTTATTAGTTGTTTAAAATGGAGTAATATTAAACACATGACTAATTGAAATCCTTTTTTCTGTATGAGTTGTTGTTAAAGCATGTCTTTTTCAGCCTGTATTTCTGCTACCGATTTTTGAGCCTGAATGTATTTGTTAGGCTTATCTTGATTAAATTGAATCTTGGTCTTGGCCCATTGATGTTCAGTGAGAAAATTCCCAAGGGTGGTCTCTATAGAAAGGATTCCTTAGCCACAAGTCATGCCTGCCTTAGAAATTCACAGTACACATTTGCATAGAAACAACTATGGGGTACTGTTGCAAAGAAATGTTTTTAACTTTGCTTAATGCAATGTTTATCTGAACATAGAAAATTTTTTCTTTTTTTTCTTGTTCTTTCTCTCTTTTTAAAGCATAACATTTATTTATACTATTTGGAATAACATTGCAGAAAACAATACCCATGTCTATTGGGAGAATTTTGAGTTTAAGAGCTATCCCTTTAAGATTATGTTAACTATAAATTTGATTACCATGTTTCTTATAGCTTGACTCAGTTCAATAGTTAAAATAAATAACAATGGCATGGGGTCAAGAGAGAACTCTACATGTCTTAAAAGATTGTTCCTAGATTTTTATAAATAAGAAAGAAGGGGTAGTCTTGGAATTGCAATAATCTTGGAGTGTTGTACATTCTTAGAATGTTGTTTTAATTATCTTATTTCAGAGTTTTGGGGCTTAACCAGAAAATTGCTCTTATCTTACTTTAGGAATTCACTTTTTATTTTGTGTTGAAAACCAGGATATTCTAGTCCTGATATTCTTCACAATTTATCTGTCAGTTATTGTTAGTGGTTCCACGGTTGTAAATGAAAATTCTTTCAGCTAAGTACACTACTTTGGAATGGACAAGCTTATGGACATTGTTTCTCATTTTTCTTCATAGATGTCTGTCATGAGGGAAACTTGTCATGTATGAATAAAGTACACAGCTGATAATATATGTTAAAAGCACTATATTTGAATACCCCAAACCAGGCTTAAATGTTAACAGAACTTGACAGGGGGTAAATCTCCTAATATTGTTGTATTTTGATAATTTTAAGAGTTGTTACATTTTATTATTAAATCTTAACATCTACTTGCCAGGGTGCTTGCCATTAGAATGATCTATTTTGATTTATAAGGATACACCAGGGAAACTCTTCTATGAATAACCTTTCTGATTAATATGGGAATATCCCTGTATAAATGGCCCTTGGATCTTCCCCTCATTACATGGATAAACAAGGTGTTTGTTATATCAGGTCCACTTCTTATCAACTTTGTTCTGTAGACCATTATTTTCAGAAAATATTAACAGATAAGCCATGTGAATGACAAAGATTTCATGGTCAAAGAAGTCTGAGAGACACTAAATAATATATTTCCCTCTTGGAGAGTCAGAATACATTAGCATATTAAAGAGTTTGAGAAATCATGTAGGATTAAAAAAAAAAACCAAAACAAAAAACAAAACTAGGAGCCTGATCGTGTTTAACCTGATGTCTTCTAAACTTATTTGAGCATAGCCCACCTTTTTGTTTTTGTTTTGTCTTCTCAAGTTTATCTGTTGACATTGTTCGGAGTCATAGCCAGCTGATGAAGTTAGTTTTTCAGTCCCCATGTTGGCGTGGCTGTCGCTGCCCTCGCTCTGGCCCGCCTCCTCCTGTCTCTGCCCTCTTCATGTCGCGTCCTCCTTCCCTACAGCCTACGCTGGGAACAGTGTGCCTTGCAGAGAGCTTAAGTGGGAACATCCAGATAGTGTCTTCATCTCTTCACACAGTTATCTAACAATGTTTGAGGATGCACCAGGGACAAAGCAGTGATACAGAGATGGCACACGTGAGGCTGCCCGGAAGTTTAAATCATGAACTGCCCCTTAAAGTGTGTGTGTCCCAACTTGAGAGACAGGACATGCCGAAAGCACTGTGGGGATCATGAGAGAGAGATGCAAAGCTGTCAGAATGTAGACTAAGGAGGGAGCAGCTTTGGCTACATGATCATGGATGACTTGGTGAAGGACTTGGCGCTTGAGATGGTTTTTCTGTGATCCTGTCAGCTAATACCTTGATAGTTAGGAGTAGGGGGTCCCATCTGAGGAGGAAGAACTAATACATGCCGGAGCACCAAGACACCAGATCACAAGGTCGTGGGACTGGGTGGGTGTTCAGTTTGACAGGATGGAGGAGAATAGTATGAATTACATTTGGAATAATTGTTCTAATTTAATTAATACTATTATATGGCAAAATACCAGAAAATCCACTAAAGAACTTGGAAGGCATAATTTATGGGAGGTTTGCATATAATCCTGAATTGCCGTTTTTGCTTCCTGTCTTTTTCTCCCTGTTGTTTTCCTCTCAGGAGCCTAGGCAGTCAGTACCAGGCCTGAGTGTACAAGGGTGCTTTTAAAAGGCTTTATATTGTAACAGCAACCTCATCCTACTAAAAATAGTTACAGAAAAAAAAGTAGAATAAAAGGTTTTATTAAATGCTGAGCCAATCCCAGTATTTCTGTTTTTAAATCATAGAGACTGCTTAAAGGATAAGCAATGTGCAACAGTAAACCATAGACAGATGCAATCACAATTCTGCCCACATTCACAGAGTTCAAAAATATTGATTTAACGTGCAGAGTTTTATAAAAGTGTGTGCTATTGTTGCATTAGTATTTATTTCAGTATTAAGAACAGTCTGTGTGGTACTATGCTCCTAGCAATGAGAGTCTTAAAGAAAGGCAAATTCCTTTTCTTTAGGAAATGATAAATCCTTTTCACTCAAAATTAACATAGTTCCTGCTATTAGTCCACTGAGAACAGAAGTGCAGAGCATTTTAATCTACTCTGGCCTTAAGTGTCTGCCTTTACCAGATTTGCAAGAAATGATTTTACCCTTTTTACTTTCCTAAATCTTAGTGGCAGGTGACATTTAGAAATAGAGAGGAAAGAAAATGTACCAGCTGAGTTGAGAAAAAATTGGAGGCATAATGGTGGCAGTAGAAGAATGAAAAGAAAAATTAAACTTCTTTTAAATTCCTGACCTGAGTGATAAAATGAAAACTATATCCATGTTTTTTTTTTAATTTAATTTTATTTTTTTTAATTTATTTACTTTTTAAATACATTTGTCTCCATGGTTTAACTTCAATGCGACATGTCTTACTTCTCTGTTCTTGGTAAAATCATAGGTCTCTGTACTGGGAAGCTGTGATTTAATATGGTGCGTGTAGTGTGGGGGGTTAGTTTGAGAACTCTGAAACGACAGAGGAATCTGTTTTGATGATCATCGTATTTCTGTGAAACGTACTTACACCACTTTGGTTCTGATCTTATAGGAAGTCAGAACTTCGCATTAACAAAGCATCACTGGCTGATTCTGGAGAATATATGTGCCAAGTGATCAGCAAGTTAGGAAATGACAGTGCCTCTGCCAATATCACCATTGTGGATTCAAATGGTAAGAGATACCTTACTTCATCCTATTTCTCAATCTGTCAGAGGAGTAATCAAGATATGTGGTGAGACTTGTGATAAACTGCTGTGTTAAATAGCATTTTGAACAAATTTAAAAAAAACAAACATTTTCTATATCTTGTATGTTCTCCAGAAAGCTCTCTACTCCCTGAGGTTATGTAGTCCTGAAATATGCATAGATTTTTAAAAAAGAATTTGATAAGGTCATGAATGTCAGAGACAGGACTGGCCACTAAAAGAAAGTTGTTGTACCTCCCACTAAGTTAGATGGGGAGGGCAGTCAAGTCTTTGGCTCTGTTAGCAACTGAATATGTATACGTGTGTGTGTGTGTGTGTGTGTGTGTGTGTGAGAGAGTGTGTGTGTGTGTTTATTATAGAATGCATATGTATATACAGAATTTATGTATATTATATATTTTTACATGTATTATGTGTAAATATATGTATATTGTGTGTATAAACAATACAATCTTGACTTAGTCTTGGCAGTTCTTACTTGCTTAGATGTATTTGTAATACATCTGGCTCTAGGTAGTAGAAAGTTAAGGCTATTAGTTTTTTTCTTTTGAAGCCTATTAACTCTGAAATTAGGGAAGTCGAGACAAAGCATTTCTTTACTGGGAATAGGCTTGAGTTTCTGCCTTCCTGAGAACTGAGAGCAGCGCCCAGGGACATTGGTTAAAAAAGTGCTTTGGAGGTTGCAGTTGCTATCTACCCTCTGACAACTTTTCTGAGTTATCTGAGGAAAGCGAAAGACCCACAGCTGGTCTCTCTGTCTGTTCATCCCAACACTCCATTAGATGGAGTCACCTGTGGAGCCTACCAGTGCGCTGGCAGCGAGCATCTCAATCTCTTGAAGCGATAGGTGCTTCTTTTTCTTTATGAATATGGCACTTCATTACTGCCTTCACAAGCCCTGCTGTCTGTGATAAAATCAAGCCTAACTGTACTGCATTTAGGTATCAGATAGATGACAAAGTATGTCCACTGCAAAGGCCTGATCTTAAGGTGATAACATAAAACTGCTAGTCCCACGATGGAAGAGTAAAAGTAACTTGGAGGGTTAACTCCATAGGAGACTGATGTGTGTAGTTTGTGTCAGTTGACTTAACAGAATAGACAGAAAGGAGTGAGATGAAAATATGGAAGGACTGGGAAAGCCCAGGTTAATTCCTAGTCTTCTCAGGATTTCCCAACAAACTGCTCTATTGCAGTGCAATTATAGTTCATTACTTTCATTGTAAATACCTCCATCCACAGAAAGTAAAGGACAACAGTGAAAAGTAGTTTCCGTTACTATTTTTAGAAGCTGTGTTTATAGTTTAAAAATGTAAAAGCCATTTAAAATTTATGTGAATAAATATAATATCACTTTACCTTTTAGTCAGCACAGGTTAAATAATAGATTTTTGCTACTATTTTTCACCCATGTAGAATTTTATAGGATGCTACTTGAAACACAAATTTATAAATTAATATTAGTGGCTTATTTTTTCCCTATTAAACCGTGTTTAGTAGCTTTTTCTCAGTTTGTTACTGGCTTGATTCAATGTGTTTCCTCGGTAAATGCTATTGAATTATGATTTCGACACTTCGATTAGATTTATGTAGCTATGCATACCATAAAGTCCTAAGAAAATAAAATTAGAGTAAGTTTCATGGTCTCACCAAATATTCAATATTTTTATATATATATATTTGAAACCAATATTGAAACATTATATATATAATAATATATATAATATATATAATAATATATAATATATATATATATTATTGACCAACTAGAGTGTAGAGAAATGAAAGTAGGGAAGTTTTTGATAATAGATCTTTTATACCTGACAAGAATAAGGAGAACTTCATGGAACATTGTAAGAAGGTCCTTCTTGAACAACCAATAACATTCCTCAGGGTTAGTGGGCTTTTATTGGCCTATTTGAAGCATCTGAGGGAGAATGAAAGATCTCAGTGACAATGCGAGGTGGTCTTGTCTTTATTTTCTTCTTAGAACATTAGGAAGAGTTCACCCTTACCCAGCCCTCTCACTGCATTTAAGAAGAAATGGAGATTTAGACTGTGTCTTAGACAGACACATTCAGCATCAGAAGATACTGAGTAGAGAAAGGGGCCATGAACCCAGATTCCTTTAATTCCTGGTCCAGTGTAGCTCACTCTATACCAGACTGCGTGTTTGCCAGTGTTCATGGTTGACTCTTTGAATTGTAAAGAAGAAAAACTGAAGGGATGGTGTGAGGCATGATAAGGAGAAAGAGATTCCATGGGGAAGAGGTAGACCTTCACTAGAACGGGGCCTCAAGGAGATGGAGCTGAACCCGGGGCATCTCTGGGAATGTCAACAAGGGGAGTTTGTGGCTCTTCTCTGTTTCTGCCGCTCATATGCCTCAGATATTTCTTGACTCTTCTGATATTTCTTGTATCTTCTCACTGCTCCTGCTTTCAACTATGCTTCTTCATAATCCCAAATTTTGACCTAGATATGACCCCCCTTGGCCATCTTCTTCTTCATGACTCTTTTTAAGGCATTCTCTCAGTTCCAACTCCTTCTGTATGATTGTTTCCTTAGCTCCCAAATCAAATTCCCCCTAACAAGAATCTGATTGGTAGAGTCTATTGTATCAGACTGCACGGATAGACCTAGACAGTTTACAAATCATTTGCCTTCTCGTCAGGTGCCCACCACGGGCTCAGCCCAGGAGAGTGAAGCTGGAAGCTGGGCTGCCTGGAAACACCCCTGTCCTCAGAGGCAGGGGGTGTGGAGTGTAGCTCACCATAGCCTGCGGCATAGCTGGCGCCTTGACCCACAAGGCTAGCGCATTGTGTCTGTTGAGAGACTCGTCTCCCTACACCACAGGGGCTTGGTTATAGTGCAACTGAAAGGAAAATATGTAATCATTCTGGCCCTTCACTCTCTTCCACTGCCATCTGTGAATTGGCTACATTCAGATCAAGGCTGATTATCATAGAAGTCAGCTTGGGTCTGAGCGCTGTGGGACGCAGAGGCACTACTTTATGTTGTTACATCCGCGTCTCCCTAGGAATCTGGGCAAAGGTTGCACAGAAACCATCTCTCAGAGAGAAAAAGAACACTCGACCGTGGTTATAAACTGCCGCATGGCTCAGCCTTGTCTTCCTAACGTGTATTCACTATCGACTTGGGCTGAGAGAGGGGAATTATTGAGAATTTCTTTTTCTCTGGGCATCTTAGAAAAAAGACTTAGAGGTATAAATGTTATCCACATATTATATTATATTATATCAAACTCCCTTGAGATTTTAATTTATGTTTCTATAAAATATTGATAATTTTGTTTATGTTGTCTTAGGCACCTCTCCTGTATTTTTCTAGTAAGTACACAGCTGTGGTTTGATCATTTCTCTACAGGTAGGCTGGATGAAAGATCCTGGTATGTTGCTGGAGCTAATTACCCTAATTCCATCCTTTGCAAAAGATTCCTGTGATTTCCTTAAATTCTCACACAGGGGCCTTCTCTGAGCCAGTAGGTGTAGAATATATTTTGGTGTAAGATTCTAGGAGGGATGGCAGGGGTTTGGAGAGGACACATATGGATGACTGTTTCCATTTCTTCCCAGAAAATGTTGAAAAAAATGTAGCAAGGTGACCTTGCAGTGTGACACTGTGTTAGATCCCTTTAAGACAACTCTGTAACTATTAGAATAAAATTAGCATATCATAAGTCTCCCTTTCAATATTCAGAACTTTCTGCCACAAAACTCATTGTTTAAATCTACTTCAATTAGCCACTAGATATAAATGAAATGATTTAAAAAGAACTAAGAAATTCCCCTTGAATCATTTTGTTTGAGCAAAACAATGACTATATTTCCATTATTTTCGATCATTTCGAAAATAATGTACATATAACCAATCCGTTTGTTAAGCTGTGTTTTAGAAACTTACATGTTTTCTGCCTTTCCAATGACTTTTAATCCTGACCTCATTTGGAGAAAAGAAGTTGTCATATAGTAGGCAGATCTAAATCTATGCGAATTGCTAATTACTTCTGGGATTATGCAAACCTAACAAAGTCCAGCTGAGTTTTCATATAAAGAAGAATCTCATAGGAAGTCCTCATTCCATGATGGATACAAGTGATTCCTTTTATGAATTCAAATATGGCAGTTTGAAAAGGCCACACACACTGCTTACAAAGCTCATAACTATGTTTATTTTTATTTGGCTTCATTTGTATATAGAAACCTTAATTTAGCAATTAATTCTTATCTAAGAAGCTCCACGAAAACTCCTGGGTATCAGACTAGGGACAAGAATAATAGACCTACCTGTTTTTCAAATTAATTAAATACTGCTGCCTTTTAAACGATTAATACAGGAGAATATACAACTAATCAGTCATATCTTCTACTAGGTTTTCTTTTTAATCAGGAGAAAAACTATTTGAGTGAGATTTAAGATCCCATAGGAGCAATTGGATTCAGAGCCATAAAATAGCTGTTTCAGTTGTGATGAGCAGAAGAATATTATTTTTATGAAATTTGATTAATATATCAATTGGTCCTTAAAAAAAACAAACAAACCCAAAAACTGTCTCATGTGAGTAACAGCTTTATCCTCATTCTTTCTCCCAACTTGACAATGTTGTTAAAAATGTTGTGGCATTGGTGAACAGCCTATAGTTATACAGAGAAGCATATAAAATATGTTCAATAATTTGTATAGTAGTCTCCATGTATGGCGTATTTTATAGGAGTCCCAAGAAGGGCAATAAGAGTGGAATAGAGTTGTCTTTTTAATGCATAATATTTATCCTGTTTCTATGCCATTTATTAATTCTAAAATTTCCCAGCTGCTTTAAAGTAAGCACTCCTTATGAGCAAGAATTCAGACACTGAAAGATGTTTCTTAAGTCATCTTTACCAATGTTGATACATAGGTATGCCCACCTTAAATCTTTAAAAAAGATACTTGCTCATACGTTTTGTATGCACAACAATGGCCTGTAATTTTAGAATAACAGAGTCACATAATTTGTTGTTTAAATACACACAGGAACATCACATGTATGTTTGTACATAGTATGTATATGTATATTTTGCTAGTTATATTTATTGTGTTATGCTCATGGTGAAGTCTCAAACAAGTTATGCATATCTAATGATTAGAAAAATTGCTTTCCAAAAGATGTTATTTTCAGACACTGCAACTTTTTTTTTTGAGACCAGATCCAATTCATTAAAAAAGCATTCAAACATTACAAATATACTAATATTCATTATGTTTACTTGCCTACTCAGCATAAGTTGCTCAGTTGTCAGTTGTGTTCAATTTCTGATGATTTTAAGTCCTCATTATTTTGCACTAATGAAGGGGGTGTCTTTTATAAATTAACTAATTTAACTTTCCAAGTTGCTATAGGAAAATACGATTTTTAAACATCAAGGAGATTGCGGGATTTAACATTTTTTAAATCTATAATTTAAGATAAAATTATTTTCAATCACATTTGTAACACTAGGTTGTTTTTTAAATATATGAATTCTACCAGAAAACACATAAAAATGCTTGCTAAGTGGTTTTAATAAAAAGATTAACTTTTCTTATTAGCAAGATTCTTTTAGTATAGAAGTATATAACCTCTGAGCTTGCATTTCCACTAAAATAATTCAGAAGGTTTTTATTAGAACTATAATCATTACAGATATTTTTAAAGGTCTCCAGGATAAATATCTAATTATAGGAATAGAGGTTATTTTAAGTTGTCTCTGTATAGATACATCTTTGTAGTAATCTCCTGTTCTGGTATTTTAATGTAACATTTGAGTAAAAAAAGGAAACGTTATGGTTAACCTTTCCTCTACCATGAGATCTTTTATGCAGGAGATAGAAATGCTCTGATTTTTTTTTTTTTCTGGGAAGGTCATGGTGACCAACTATTTAGTTTGTCAAAAATAAATGCGAAGAGTCTTGATTCATGCCGGGATTGGGACGTTTGCCCAGGTCTTGTGACCCTGAGCTCACTTCTTCAGTGTGGCTGTCAGTCATTGATGCATCCCGGAGGACCGAGTGGGGAAGCGTCCCTCCTGTGAGCACTTTTCCTGGGATTGTGGATCTTCTAGGTATTCATAAAGGTAGAGAAATTCTGTAAAGCTTTGATAAAGAAGTTTCTCTCGGATTAAATTTTCCCTCAAAGAAGAGCAATTTCATTTTCTACAGCCCAAATCAAGAAAGCTACTTGTAGCCACTTCAGAAATAGATAACTGCCATTTTACCAGCTCAGAATATCCTCTTTGATTCCTGCTGCTTAAGAAAGTCTAAAGGATGTCATACACTCTCATATATGGATTTCTTTCACTGTGTCCCATTTGGGGTGGGTATAAGAACTAGATAGGCAACTTTGGTGGTTTAATTCTCCCACCTTGAATGGTTTGCCCTCCTAATGCTTGATTAGAGAGGACCATCCATACTTAATTTGTATGAGAAAGACACATTTGATCTTACTTAAGATATACTTCTGATCTTTATATATTCATATTTAACCTGACACTTACTCATCAGCCTTTCCTGCTGAATCTCACATGCCATTTTACCTTCTAATTTCACAAAACCTTTTATCCCCGGAGAAGCCTCTCAGGTTGAAGAAATATTGCCGCTTAGATTAATTCCTCTTACCTATTAGACTAGTCCTGTCATGGAAATCCTAAATGGTTATATCTATATTCAGAGATGATTATATTGATCATGAACATTTCTAACCCCATGATTAACAGGCTATTTAATTGATACCATATTTGACCTGCTTAGGATTTTAGTAGGATCTGGTAACTTCAATAATACACACACACACACACACACACACAATATCATAACAGATTCAACTTACTGTTTTGTCCTGGTTAGTAAATAGTAAAATACTATTAAGTCATTCAATCATAACAATAATTATACACACAGTGAAGGCTGAATGATATTCATTATTGCATCTCTACATCTTGCCAGGCTTCACAAAATGATGCCTTTCTGAAAAAATTACATCTTAACGACAGAATGAGTTAGACAGTATAATCATTCTTTTTCTCATCATAAAGGCGGTAAGAAAGCAAGTCAGAGTTTGGCCAAGACTGTCGCAGTTCCCACGATGGCAGTGTTCACTCTTCCTTTCCCTCAGGCGGGAGATGCCTGCTTATGTTCTACCCTCAGTAGCTGAAATGCCTATCGTATGATAAGGCACCCAATCTTGATTATAATTGTCAATTTAATGTAGAGCTCAATGCCACAACTTGATGTTTTCCATCAATTTTGACTAGAAACATTGCCTGCTTTTGTTTTTGAGCAAAAATGCAATTCTCCAAAGATCTGTCATTTAATGATTCTGACTGTAGCTTTAATTTCCTTAGCTCTGCTATTCCCACCTTCCTTTCTGAGGAGGGGCCCTCGACCTCTTTGTCATATACGGTCCTTCGCTGGCCCTGGTGGGGGCAGTGAACTCCTCCTTATAATTCCTCCTAATTATTCTAGCACTATTCATCTCATGCCCTTTGCTCAAGAAAGGAGAACTGCTTGCCCGGACGGTCTCTTTTTTTGCCTTTTTCACTTGCTATATGGATAAAGCCTGCTTTCGTCACTCCCTTGCAATACTTCCTTCCTTTATACACAGTATCAGGTTGAAGGCAGGCTGTGGAACTGGTTCCCAGCCTCCTGCCTGTACATCGTAATATCCTATCACCTTTTCTTTTTTGCAGAGATCATCACTGGCATGCCAGCCTCAACTGAAAGAGCGTATGTGTCTTCAGGTAAGGCCACTAAGCTCGTCCAGCTTTACTAACACAAACGACAGGCATCACTGCTGGCTGCTCCTTTTACTAATCAGAACCCCTCTGCACCTAGACTTCTGCTGTGCTTGTTTTCTGCCCTGAAATTTTCCTCCAGCTCACTCTGCATTTTTGGATTTTGCTTATCAGAGTCTGAACTTGGGCCTGAGAGGTATGCATGAGGAAAAGAAATAGATACAATTTAGTGACATTAACACAGTAAAGGAGACATCTGGGTTATCAATGAAGGTTTTTTTATCTTCATAGGTGCTCTTCTTAGCTGCCTCTGCTCTCTTTCATCCATCCTAGTTGATTCCTGGATAATGTATCAGTGTCTGATATCTGACCTTTGGGCACTTAACTATCAGGAGTGGGTCACTAAACTTAAAAAACAAACCACTGACTTTGTTGTTGTTGTTTTGGGTTTGTTTCTCACTTGCCTGTAAGATTTGCTTAGGGCAATTATAGTCTGAACAGATACTTATAACTCAAATGTACTATTGCATGTATAACCACAATTCAATCGTTTCTCTTCTAGTTATATATCTAATTAACCTACTCTGATTTCTTTTTACTTCCTCTTATCCTCTGTAATTCTGTAGTAAACAGAACTTTAAAATATTTAAAAATTAATATTCAATTGGAAGCAACTTTTTACAGGCCTAGATACAAAACTAAAACTAACTTCAAAGGTGTAATAACTTGCTTTTTTCCCTGATACTTTACAGTTTACAAAGATTTTTACATCTAATTCAATAATGACAACAGATTCATGAAACAAGAGATTATTTTCCTTCATTGTACAAATGAGAAAACATTCTCTTTATTATACAAATGAACATTAAGAACGTTAAGTCATATAGCTCAGCAAGCTCAGAAAAGCAGATACTTCATGCTTAGTACTCTTTCCATTACTCCATATATAAAATTCGGCTTCATTGATATATATATTTCTATTTCTATTTCTATTTAGTCATTATGGCCTTTTCCTTGTTGAACCTATAGGAGGCCATATAATCTGACACAGCACAATCTGTTTTTTAATCTTCCCTTCGCCACTTTTAATCTTCCTTTCAAAGCCATTGTTAAAATCATAACAGCTAAATTTCTCTGTATCCTCTATTGTTTTGGCCATATTTAGGACATATTCATGGGTCATTACTTAGATGTAAATATCTGTATTGCAGGGTGCGATGATCCTGGACTCTTAGAGGATCTTACTTTTGAGAGAGAAGATAGAGAGAGAGGGGGACAGGGGAAGGAAGGAAGAAAGAAAGGGAGGGAGGGAAAGAGAGATCAAAAGAAAAGAACTGTTGAGTAATTTGAATTTCTTCACATTTTATTCAGGGATTTTTTTTTTAATGTAAGGACTTAATTGTCCACCTCTAGTAGATGATGTTATAAACCTGAGCTTTTAAATTTATGTGGGGTTTGTCTTCGGCATTTAGACTGTATTATTTTCAGATATATTACTTACCTCTTTATAACTTTCTGGATGCTGAATTTCAATCTTTCTTTGATACTAAGTTCTTCTTATTTCTTACTAATAAAGAACCTTGGATCCCATGCTTTTTTTGCTGCATGAGTTATGTTTTATGCTAGGTCTGTACTTATATACTGGTTTTCCTCCCTTATCCTTGCTATCTAAGAGGATCTTACTGCTGTACATCCACAATGATTGCATTATGTACTTATACAGCATGCTTTGTTTGAATCCTAAAGTAATTCTTCCAGGGGTTCCTCAGCACCATGTTTGGTCAGGATGTTTATGCAGACCAAGTTGCCTGAAAGCATTCTCATTCTTTTTCTTTTATTTTAGTTTTCTCTATGCATGAAACTTGACTTTCATTCTCTGAATATAGGGATTATTCTCTTTGGTTTCATGCTTCTTAAGATCAAGATCACATGTCAGAAAAGGAATTGTGTCTCTCACCTGTAGTGCAGACCTGTGTAGAGTGGTATTTCTAGGAAGTGCACACAGCATTTGGCATGGGATGTCTCTGCGGATGGACCCACTTCATTTTCACCTCTTTAAAAAGTCTTTGAATCTGGACTACAGAAATACTCCTTTATGGTCTTTGAATATTGCATATATCTTCCTTTGACTTTGCAATGCTTCAGCCTTTCAGTTGCATTGTTTTCTAGTCCCCTTTTTCTAGAATATACCCAAGCCAGGCCAGTTCCTAATGTAAGAATCTAAGTGGCATGACTCAATAAAGCATCATTCCACTTTTGTGTTTTATAGAGTCTCCCATTAGAATATCAGTAACAACCGAAGGAGCAAATACTTCTTCATGTAAGTATATTTAAATATTCTCTTCACTACTTTTTAACCCAAGACAGTGTCTGTTTCTGAAGTTTGTGTTCACATCTACCCTCAGCTGTTATTGAGGAACCATGTGTCAAGTTTGGAAGTAGAAAGGGCCCCCTAAGATACATCTGGATATTAAGAAATACCACACACGTGGTAGTTTCAGGATAATATAGTGCCTTTAAATGTTGGACAATAACTGAATAGCCCCTGAGGCCTAGTTCTGAATGAGCAATAGAGCACATTGTGGTTTGTTTGGTTTTTTGTATCTGTGTATTCTGATGCCTTCAGCAACTGCCGGAGGCATGATACCCAGCTGTCCGGGGCCTCTATTTCAAAGCCCCTCAGTTTTCCTATAGAGCCTACTGTGATGGAATAAGGAAACTATATATAGATGCCCTTAATTCAAATTTGATAGCAAGTGACTAATTATGAAAATGTTGGAGAGCAAGTCCCGAGGTAAGATCTCAGATTAGTTTTAATCTATTTAGTGTTAAATGTGCTGTGTGCTTATGGAATTCTACAACTGTTAGACTGATTGGTGCCTTGTGCTATGTCAGGGGAGCTGAAGGCATATTAGCAAGGACTAGTAAAAATAGTTTTCATACTTATAAATTGTGAATAGCATAGCATGCAATTTTGATACCCAACAGGGGAATTTATTAGACCTTGAAAAATAAAACTTATAACTACAGTTTTTCCCTCCCTTATTTTAGCTCTCTATTTAAAACTCTTTCTCAGTTTGCTAAGCTCTTCAGTAAATGAATGTTCCCAATTATTCAGTTCCAACCTGGAGAGTGTTTAAGGAACAGTTTCCTTTGGCCATTGGCATGGTAGGAAGCCCTTGAAAAAGAAGATCTGTACTTTTGGTAACTTGAATTATTTTGCTAAACTGTTTAAATAGATTCCGTTTGACCAAGAGCCTTTTTCTTTAGGTTGGTGGTACCAGAACTGTAATGGTGTGATGTAAGCATACTTTTTTAGTGCATGAAGTATAATGCTGTGGCTATATCTTAGCTAGATAAAGCATCATTCAACTGGATTGATGACAGCAAGCTAGTAAGATCAAACAGGAAATGCAATGCTAGGAAGGACTAAATTGGCTTCCTCTGAATTCTAAGAACAATCATTACATACTCCAAAATGATAATCCCTCTGGGGAGCTTGGGATATTTGATATTTAATTCTACTTATAGAAATATTAATATAATTTCATAGATTTTAACTAACTAGCATTAAGGAATCATGTGCTTTGCTTTATATATTTGAGTGTTTATTGTACAAATGCAAATACTAGGCTTTTCTTTTTGGTGTATTTTTTTTTCTGGGAATAATTTCTCTCCTGTATGATTCATTGAATAAAGTTATTGAAACTCTTGTAATTTGAACCCTTCCTGCTCTCATTAATGGGGCCATGGATGCTCTCCTTGAGCATAGCCGAGTAATTATAGAATGGAAGAAATATTTCTTTTGGTTTTCCAGAGCTTTAGGGAACTGAAATGAATCTCTCCGTTTACATTTCTATTCATTGCAATACTGTCGAGAAAGAAAATAATTTTGAAATCTGACACTGATCTCTAACCCTCGGCAGAATCAGTCCCTGATATTTTTGGTAAAGGTTTAAGACAAAGAAAGAAGTTTCCGTGTACCATCGTTAAAATAGTTCAGTGTTCCATTTTTGTACACCACTCAGCATTTGAGGTAGGCTCTCAGTAAAGAGGGTTGAATTGATTAATTAATACATTTTTTAATATCGTGAAAATGTGCTCTATTACTGGATAGTGTAAACCAACAGTGGCAGGATGCTAAGCCCAGTCTTGGTCAGAACAATGAACGTGTGGTGAGCCTCTCCGTTCATTTAGAGGCAGCATCGTGCAGAACTCTGCACTGCAGAAGAACTGTGACGCAAACCTGTCTCTATGTAGTAAAGGCTGAAGGTGAAACTGGAAGAATCAGCAATAAGCTGGACATAAAGATGCAAGATACATAAGAGTCAAAGGCCTTGGAAGAGTTCACTTGTGTCAGAAATAATCAGCCCTGAAGAAGAGGGTTTTATTCTCTTACTTTCAGCCAGAAAGGAACTATGCGCTTACAATGCAATCATGTCTGTGTGGGCTACATTCTTTGAACTGTTGACATTGGTGTTTTTTAAAGTAAATCTTGAAACGCCGTTCCAAAGTAGTATGGATTCAGCAAACCTGTTATGTGTAATAACGATTTGGGTTGCTTTTTGGGGTCAGTGTGGAAAAGGTGCTGTGCTTTTTCACCTTGCAGTTCTTTAGGTACCAGTGTGCACGCCCTGATGGGGAAACGTCCCCTTCCTGCCAGTCAAGTTTTGAGAAGCTGTCCCTGCTGGGTCACTTTTGAGACGGTTCAGCAGTGGGAGTTTGTGTCCTTGGCCCTGATCATACCCTACCTGGGACTCCAGGCCCGTCTTCCCTGCCTGCATCCTGCTTCTTCCCAAAGTCTTTCCTGACCTCCAGCTCCCAAATTTCTCCTTCTCTCCTTGTGCTGGAATAGAAAAGACAAAAGAAAAAAAAATTTGCCCACCTACCTATTCAAACTAATATTGCTACTAGTTCCATATGTTTCCTTCTCATCAGTATTTTTCATTCTGGCTTTCTATTTAGCCATTCTCTGTCTGTTTACATAATATATCATTTCCTCATGATATAGCATATATAAGATAGCATTTTCCTCATGTCATAAACACTAATCAGGAACTTTAAAAGTATTTTTAATCTAAAATCTTTAAATAATTTTTCAGTCACTGTAACAATAAAGAAATCATTCTCAACCGGAAGTGTTTAGGGCATTGTTTTCTTTTTTTTTTTATGTACAAACACTTTGCCATTTTTGTCCCCTTTGTATTTATTTTTCCTAGGATTTCATACATATTGGCAGAATAACAAAATTAATAATCCTTCCTTTTGTGAGGCAAATTTTAACTACTACTTTTTTTGAAATGGGGAGCTTGCATTCTACATTTACTATTTTTAGAATCATTAATTATAATTTTTAAGGTTTCTTATAATAATATCCTGATAAAGAGCAATATTATCTTTCTTCACTTTATTTTATTTTTTTTAAATCAGGCCATCTGTGATTTAAAATGTATAAATAATTTGCTAAATAAGTGTCCTATTACACCTAAGTGACAAGTTTTAGAAGAACTTGAACCTTACAAAACAGTCAGTAAGACTCTCTTGTTCCTGCTTTATATGAAATCAGCAAAAAAGTCAATGGATTTAAAACAAACCTTAATTACTTCCCTCTGAAGTGCTAGCTGCCAATGACCCCATTTTGGAGACAATTTTGTTGAATGATTTAGGAAATATAATTGTTATACCAACCACTTTACTGAATTAAGCACCATCCATTCCAATTTAATATATAAATGAGGAAAGCAAAAATGAAAAGCCCAATAAATGGAAATAGGAAAAAAATAAAGATACATTTTTGGGAAAGTCTTTGGTAGTAATTTATATTTCTAATAATAATAATAATAATAATAATAATAATAATAGCGAATGTTAATTGAAGGCTCACTGTCTGCCAGGCACTGTGCTAGGTGATTTATAGAAATGATGGCTCAGGGCTCTCACAAAACCTTATTCCATTTTTCAGATGATGAAACTGATGTATCTTGTCTAAAGTCTCACAAACAGGATCCAAACCTAGTCAATACAATGCTACCTGAGGCTGAGCCACTTCAAAGGAAAACAAAATTTAATATTAAAAGGAATGAGATCCTGTGAATAGACTGAAAAGTAGTCTTCGATTCAAAATGGATTGGGAGTATGCTTGGTAGATTAAGCTAAATGCATTGCCTGGGACCAGCTGAGCCCATGCCACCTCTATGTTACGCATCAAAGCATGCCAGGTGGTGAGGTGAAATGGAAACACAGAGTTCGGAGGAACTCAGGTTCTAAAGTCTCAGTGCTGCTGCTGTTACTTACTGTGTAACCTTAAGCAATTATTTAACATCCCTGGGACTCAGTTTCTACCTATACTTGTATAATCTTGTGTATCTCAAACCCGTACTGGGAAGCCTAATGTGGGAAAATGAATGTGATTCATTTAGCACAGCTTCACTGTTAGGTGGTCTCCCCTCTATACGGAAGAGAAGGAGCACCTAAAAGCATGATGTGGCCCCGAAGAGAGAATGGAAATCAGAAGAGTCCTTGCCTCGTATTTGAATGCTATATGGCAACATCCTTATTGTTGGAGGAGGAAAGCAGTTAATGGTTTTTACTCTAAATGATGCTGCTGACAATTCTGTGCCAAGAAATCGCTGTCTTTGCAAAATATTATATATTCTTAGCTAAGGTGGCATTTTAAAGGAACTTATCCAGGAAGTTCTCTTTGAAATCTCTGAATGAAATGAACAATTCAGTCTTCAATTTGGCACCTAAAAGAGCTAGCTGAAGGGGAAAAAAATGTCTTTTGTCTGCAGAGACATTTCAGTTATAATGAGACACAGTAATATGTATTGATTCGATTAGATTAGATAGGTCCATTTGTGAGATTTAGAGCTATGAGTCTTCCAGTCCATTCTCAGCTATAACTGACTTACCTGCTTTAATTGTAGAAAAAACTGCTTGGACCTTTGCTAAATTATTTTCAGCTGGAAAAAATAGCCTTTCAATTTCAGATCTTTATTGGTCGCAAAACATGAACTCTGGCCTGTCTCTGTTGGAGAGCTGATTCTAATTGAATACAAATGGTATATCCAAATTTTTATAATATGGCATTTTCAAGGGTGTGGTGGCTCACTCTATTGTGGACAAATTACCGTGCATCATATAGCAATAAAAGAATACTTTGAAAAGGAAATTGCCCAACTGGCTATATTTTAGTCTTCCTGATGGCCTAGAGTTAATTACAGGTATTTAGGACAATTCAATGATTTGGAGCAAGACTAGACATTTGTACAATTTATCACAGCCATTCATATGTTCTGCCAACTTACTACCTTCATGTTC